GACTCCCCACCCCATTTTGTGGGAGGTTAGACTCAGGGCTTTCCTTTCACTTATTTTGAACAGAAGTTCAAAAACACTGCAGAGAAAGGGGGAATTAAAAAAAACTAATACAAAGTATGAGGGAATAAATGTCTTCTTACAAAAAAAATGGAGACCACTGTAAGATTAAGACACCATCTGAAACTGGAAAATTCCAGATGTTTAGTGCCTCAAGGAGTCCTAAGCTTCTGCTCATGCATCCTTTTTTTAAATAATAAAATAGGAAGTCAGATAGATTTTATTATCTTTCTAATTGATTTGAAATGATGAACTTGTCAATATCCCAGAATGAAAAAGGAGGAAGCAAGAATAATAGATGCATGACAAATTTATTTACAACCTGCTTTCAGAACTTCCCCAATACATTTCAACCATACATGTTCTTCCCTAGGGGAAACAATTCAAAGTCAAAAGATGAATAGCTCAGTTTAGGTTACAGGGAGTAAGAATCCCCTGGTATCAAACAATGCAAATTGAAGTTTTCCACAGACGCTGATGCTCAACACACATACACACAGACACAGACACAGACACACACACACACACACACACTACCCTGGTATAATTGCAAGAAATAAGAACCAGTTCTCTCCTCTGTACTAGGGAACATGTAGTGAGGCAGGATCTCTGCTCTTTCTGTGCCTTATTTATCCAGTAGTACCTTGCTTCATGAAAAAAGTTCACTTTATATTCACACCAATGAGAGAATAGCCAATAAAATGCAGTAACAAACAGTTAAAACACTTCATGTTTTCTGACAATAACAAAAATGTTTCCATAAAGATTTGATCTCCTTCCTACTGACCACTGCAAGGCTCAGAATTGCTAGATATCATTAGAGTGCATAATTGGCTCAACAGGGTCTGCTCCATTGTGCTGAAACAGAAAGTGACATATAAATTGAGGACAGCAAAAGGGGAGCATAAAAGGAATAGGTTCACTGCTCTGTGGTTAAGTCTTAATGCAGTAACTTGCTGAAACTAGACTTTTGTTTGACTTCCCCACTGTGTCTTTATGAAGCAGCCCACTTCCACTGAGATTTACTGCTTGCAGAAAAATTGTTCTCTCTACATTTATGTGCGCATGTTGATGGCATCTGTCCATCTTGTTGAACTAGGCTCAACAAAATCATTACAAAGGTAGCCTCCAGTTGAATTAATGCATAAAACTGATCATGTGTTTGACTCTGAGGACAAAACAAACATAAAAATGCCACAAAAATACTCAAATTGAGGTCTAGTGGCTTATTATAAGGTTTTTTGAAATAAAGATAAAAAGGATAAAAAGGGACATTTATACTTCGGGACTAATTCCTACATAATCATATTGGATAGACAGTCCTTAAAAAGAGAGCAACCTACACTATTTAATGTAAAGAAATATAGGCAATCACTATTTTCTTAGGCAAAAGCAGTGAGAAAAGCTACCATATCTCTACAAATATTGTAGTGCATAATATGGAACTGAAGCTTAGAAAAGTTACTTTACTGGGGTAGAATTCACCAAATGCCCCAGATCACATGGACACTACATTTCCTTTCTCTATCTTTTAAAAAAACCACATCCAGATGAAGCCTATATATTCTGTCTCATAGGGCTACTTACAATAAATCAGTTGTTAGCTCTTTAGCCAGTATCCTAAGTTTCTAAATCAGCTTGCCTATCTTTCGAAAACCATTTGTTGCCTTTACAGTTTAGTTGTAACATAAAACAATGCAGCTGGATTGTAGCCATTGGACTTTGGAACATACTGCATTATACTGTATCACACCATTGGTCCATCCCGCCTAATGTTGCCAGCTCTGACTGGCAGCAACTTTCCAGGGTGTCAGGCAGAGTCCTTTCCTAGCAATACTTGGAAATGCAGTGGATTCTCTAGTGGTCTCCTATCCAAGCACTAACCAAACCCACTCCTGCTTAACTTCCAAAAATCAGATATCTCATGTGTTCAGGGTGATGTGGTAGTAGCTAATCATCTTAAGGGGTCTCTTAAAAAGAGGAATCTCTTTAGACAGAGTGATGTGTGCACTGTATTACTTGTTTCAAAATATCTTAAGCATGAACATATGTTATGCCAAACTTTGGGAGCTGTTCCTTCTGCTAAATAGGGCATTCAACCTCTGCTCCAAAGTTCTGATCAGATAGGCCTGCTGTTAACATATGTGTTGTACTGTACGTATTTCCTTAAATTCTCACTTATAAAGCAATTTTAAATGACCATGCAGATGCTGGCCTTGCCGTGAAGCTTGATTCCTTTAGACAACAAAATTTAGGAGGATATATATAGGCTGAAATTTACATTTGACTGGCCATGCTGAGTGAAGCTGTTAAGAGTTGTTGGCCAAAATAGCTGAAGGTCAAAGATTCCCAGTCCTTGTTTTATAATGTAATCTCTATACATTGGGAAATAACTGTTCTGTGCTCTGCTTCAGGCAGCAAAATGTTTTTGAGCTGGTATGTTGAAACGGCTTCCCGGCTGTTTAACTTTGCATTAAAGACAGGCAATCTCATGAGAAATGTTAGGGAGGTTTGCTGAAAGGCCATCTTCCTTGAGAAACACGTGATTCTTGCAGGTGCTTTGAAGAATTGAGGGATGCACCTATTTCTCATATCTCCAGAAGTGACCCGGAGACTCGACTGACATAATGTAGGTTTTGCTTGTAGGCTTGAAAATATGGCTACACAATGTGTCAATTTCCAGTTCTTTCTCAACTATTGAACTGGTAGCACTGAAACATTAAATATGGGTTTGGGTTTATGGTGGAATAATTTCATGTCTGCTTCCTAACCCCTAACCCCTTGGGATACATTACTACATCCAAAATGTTAGCATAGGGTTGTGGCAGGGCTTAGCCTACCATTAGACAGGATGATGTAGCCTGCACTAGGTTTTGAGGTTTCATATGTTTTCACCACCAGACTTGAAAGAAGCCTTAGTTGGCTGGTTTTTATTTTACTTTCAAGCCAACTGCCAGAAAAGCAGGGGGCCAGGGGGCAGGAGGAGACAGTATTGCAGGCCTTCTGCTTTTTAAAAGGGGCATTTGCTTTCCCTACCTGATGTACAGTAGCTAAGCTTTTGTTCCATCCCAAGATTTGGATAAGGATGTGAAATTCTATTCAGGGACGCCACCTCACATCCATCCCTACCTTCTCTGGGCACCTCCTCTTGGCACTATGTGCCAGAGTGTTGAATTCCATCAGCAGGGTAAATTTTGGCACCAATTGTTCCTATATTGTTCCTGAGTTGTGGTTGGTAATTGTTTTCCTCAGGATGACTCAGGTGGATTTTGTTTACATCTAATTACACATTTCATTGTACAAATCTCTCCCTTCTGGAGATGTTTTCTGAGGAAAACAGAGAGACAGCTAAAACTTGCTTATTTCAATTAGTCATCATGTTGGCTGCAGTTGTGTTCATGTTAGCACACAGTGTTGTGGAAGAAACACAAATAGATGCACAGGGATTCCTAAAGAGGGAGGAGATGGGGTTAGAGCCTCATGCAAAAATGCCTGGTGTCAGCTGAAGCTCCCCCCACAAGGAAAAAAAAGGGGGGGATCAGTTTTTGTCAAAATTCATTAGTTGAGGAGGAGAGGTGTGCTCTCTCCTCAGACCCAACAACTGCCTTGGGTGCAAAGCGTTGCTTGGGGGTGTGGGGCAGGCAATAAAAAGCGCTTGAGGCGGAGCCTTGCTTAATGTATTTTTGGTCCTGGTGGGATCGCTTTTGAATTTAATTCAATATTGGACCACCTTCACATCCTTCCTTTTTTAATATATATTTTTACATGGAATACCTTTTGGGTACAGTTTTTTGAGAATCTGGTGGATGGTGGAGGGAGGTACTGATTGGCCAATCAAGGGTTCTGACTAGTTCATCTGCACATAGGCACTTATTTATATACACTGTATTTATTTACTTACTTGGAATAGGCACTCCTCTTTAAGTTGGTGGCTGCTGGGGAGACCTAGCAGATCATGGCTTTCAAACAAGGCCTTGGGGCTGGAGGTAAGAAGTGAAACAGCCACCAACAGCTAAAAAAGAAATGAACACAATGCAGCTGACATGGGACACAGAAGAAAAGGATACTCCAGTTTTTATTTCCTGAGGTCAACTTTTCTGTTAAGAGACCCGGGCAGCAGAGCTTTTGGTGGCATGAAAGAGCAACGAAAAGTGTTTAGGATTTCGTTTTGTTACTATTGTGTTTTTGCCACCAGAGAAGGGCAGCAGAGATGCTCATGCGGTTGATTTGCCTCACGTGCCAAAGTAACCCGACCAGCCTTGATTTTGGTGACCACTCGCTGCTCTCTGTGTTGGGCAACCAACCCCGTAGTGTTTCAGTGGTGATAAAGGAAGAAGGTAGAGATCATGTCGCCTCTTCACACCTCGCCTCCACCCTCTCCTCCCCGCCCAAGGGACCCTCACGCGGACAGGTGGCTTTGCAAGGGAGAGAAGATACAAGCCACACGCGCCGCTCATGGACTGTAACTGGAGCAGAGAAGGGTTTATTTTAAAATGAGGAACCAACCAGGGAGAGGCGGGCCGAGCCGAGCAACTCGCCTGTTGATGTTTCCGGGTGTAGATAAACAAAGGGAGGGGGAGGATCTCGCCGAGAGAGAGGCAACGATCGAGAGATAAGAGAGAGCGAGCGGTGCTCGCCAAAGGGTCACGTTACACCCCCACCCAGGAGGGGCTGCACTGCCTGCCTGCCTGCCTGCCTGCCGGCGACGCTGCCTCCTCCGCGTCCTGGGACTTTGCCGCCGGAGGGTTCGCGCAGCGCGGTGGCTTCTTGCTCCGCTCCAGGGAGGTCAGCCAGCAGCGCGCTCCCCAATTCCGTCGAGCGCAGCGGATCGGCGGCTTGCCTGTCTGCCAGCAGCAGTAGCAGCGGCGGCGGCGGCAGCCTTGCAACAGGTGTCTCGGGGCTGCCGCTGGGGGGGGGAAGGGCGTGGGGGGGGCAAGAATAGATCAGGACAACTTTCCCAGCCTCGCTGAAGAAGAGGAGGGAGGTCGCGGCGGCAGGAAGGGACGGCCGGCGCTCCTTTTTCTCCCTGGCCCTATAAAGCCATGACCGGCCTAGAAGAAGATCCCGAGTTTGACTTCGATTTCCTCTTCGAGTTTAATCAGAGCGACGAAGGGGCCAGCGGCAAAGGTTGGTGGCGGTGACGAGGCAGCGTCCGCCATCCTCAGCGGGACCGGCGGGCGAGAGGGAGGGAGGGAGGGAGGGCCGGGGTTAGCTGGGAGCGTTTATTTGCAGCGCGTTAAATATAGCGGTTCTTCTGGGATGGGGCAAGTGCAGCGGGAGTGGAAGAGAAGCGCTTGAAGCGCCGCCCGCTGCTGCTGGCATGAAGGCGTCTCTCTCTCTCTCTCGCTCTCTCTCTCTCTCTCTCTCTCTCTCGTCCCTTTTTATCTCTCAACGCTGTCAATCGAATAACCGTTTCATACAGGACTTTTCTTTTTCCACTTGCATTTTTTGTCCTTGTAGTTAAAAACAAAACAAAACTGTTAAGTCTGAACTGCAGGAGGGCAATTTTTCTTCCAAGTCCCGACTCACCCCGGGGAGTGTTCACACGTGCGCATCCGTAGAGCGCCCAAAACTGACAAACACGGCTCGGGGGCCTCCTGCCTTTGCGCGGGGACGTGTGGTTGTGAGGATGGCGGGATAACAAAACAAGTTAAAAGCAGGTTGAAAGAAGGTACAGTACTGGAGAGTGGGATGGCTTGACATTCAAGCAGAGGGAAGAGGGTGGGTGAGAGCCTCAGGTAGGGCTGAGAGTTGAAACACATCTTGGAGAAGTTTCTTCTTTGGTTACAGGGCTTAGAGGCCATGCTGGGTGGGAGACTTTGGAAATTGTAGTCCTCAAAGAGTGATTTTCTTTGAAATTCTGGTTTGCACAAAAGAAGGAAGATACTATATACATCAAGTTAGAAATAGCCTTTCAATTGTGGTTGTTCAAAGAAGAGTATCAGTACTTGGGATTCATAGGCTTTGAAAGAGTAGAACAACCCATCAGATGTATACACTTTCTGATGTGTCCGTTTGTGTGCTTTGAGCATAAGCAGAAGGCAGTTTGGGAAAGGAGATTTTTGGTTTGGAGAAGACTTGGAGACAGCAGGCATCAGATCTCTTGGCTTGGGTGGGGGAACTAGAGCTGATCCCTAGATAAGCCTAAAGGTGCAGGAAGGTACAGTATCTGAAAGCTGACCTTTCAGGAAGGGTCCTTGCAGTGTCATGAAGACTTGGACACTCTCACATATTTTGATGTGAAGGAAAGGCTCCTCCTTTTCTGAGTCTTGAGCTTGGGAAGCAGAGAAGGCCTCTATGACCTTGGTGCTTCGAGGTGGAAAGAGAAATGCTAACCTAGGATGCAGCTCCAGGCAGCAAGACTGGCCATTTTGCTGACTGAGGGGAGGACACAGGACGCCCTCCTACATGTTTAGACACTAACCAGGCAGGTAGTTGAATCTTTGTTTAACACTGGTGGTAAAGCAGTATCTCCCAGAGCACCCAGCGGCAGCACATGCTACACAGTGAGCCTCACCTACCCCCTGCCACCTCAAAATATCTGTGTGAGGCAGTGGTCTCACTGATGGCAGGGCCCTACCCATCTCAAAGGAGTGTCCCACTCCCTGCAACCAAAGAAATTAGCTGTTGTTTTTCTATGAATGATCCTCCAATGCCTAGTACAGATCTTGGACCTAAGTGGTCTTCATCTTCCAGCCCTAGCATAAGGACTTACGGTATCCCTATTTGTAGTTGATTGGATACAGGCAAGTTCTGGGGGGAAGAAAGGAACACATTTTTAATAGCAGAATCCTTCTGAATGTATTGAATAAGGAATTCAGGGAGTTGTAGTACAAAAAAGTAATTTTTCCAGACTCTGCATACATGTTAGTGTGTTTATAGTGCTTTCCTCTTTTTTTTTCTGTCGTCTGATTTACTTGGAACAAGATAGCTTGGGGACCCAGGAAGATTTTTGGATTGTCACCCCAGTGAACAGAGATAATGCACCATATGTTGTAAAAACAACTTTTTCACTAAGCAGAAAGACAATGTTTTCAAATAATTTGGAGGAAGCCTCACTAACCATTCAGTCACAAGGAATCACCTACCAAGAGAAGGAATACTTGTTATCCCATCTAGCAGTGACTCTGTTGGGCTAACAACGGACAGCTACTCTGCCCATATTAAATTATGTGCTCTCAAATTGATCCCAATGTATGGTTAGCCTTCCAGGATTTTCTAGGAATAAAGTATTCAGAGTGATTTTCAAGTTCCCTCTGGGACTTTGCAATATGTCTGAGGCTGAAGAGGTGGCAGGTCACCTGAACCCGCTAGCCACAAACTCTCCAGGTTATCTTGACTGGTCTCTCTCTTAGGAGGCAAACTCTCTTAGGAGCCCTGGCTATGTAGCCAGGCATTCCTGCCCACCGAGGTCTGCTCACTGGCTCTCATTCTCCGTAGTATATTTTTCTTCTCAACCCTGAGTGGTCATGCATGTAGATAACAGTGTGTTGAATTGTTTGTCAGAAATATAAAATGTGTATGCTGTGCAACCCACATCAGCACTAGACTGAATCTGAATCCTGGCAAGATGGAGATCTCACCTGTGGGCGAGTCATTCTTGGGTCTAGGAGATAGGTAAAGCCCCTGTTCTGCATAGGGTGTGCCTGTCTCTCTGAAGGAGCCCAGGTGTAACTAGATCCACTGTTGTCAGTAGAAGTCTAAATGGTTCCAGTGGCTTGGAGTATCTTTTGCCAGTTTTGCATGCAACATGAATTGCAGTTGTGCCCGGAGAGTGATAACTCATTGGATCCCAGTGGACATATTAGCTAGGGACTTCATAGAGTTAAAGTTTTTTTTAAATGCCACTTTTTCAGAGTCAGTGCATTGGTATCCATAAGTTGGATTACTGCAGTATTTAAAATATATCACAATTTTTTGTAATCCACTTTTGGCATTTCTTCATTTTTAAATATACCAGAAATCTTTAAAAAAAGGGGGGGGGGAATTGGCCTCTCAAAGACTCTGCATTCAAGGGGGCATTCTAATTAGAAGTGTACACCAGTGCCAGAATAGTATATTTATTTTGAATTTTTTGGATTAATATTTTGTTTTGTCTCTGTAATGCTCATTATTTTATTCTTTATGCCACTTTAGTTGTTTGTTAATATGACACAATATAGAACTCTGTTTATTGATTGATTGATGTTATGTATTTAAAATATTTTTACACTGCCTTTCTCCTTAAATAAGGATTAAAGGTGGCTTACATAATTAAAAGAGAGTATGTAAAGCTAATACCATAGTAAAAGACTATAAACAAGAGCTGTACCAAAGCACATTCAAAGCAGTAAAAGTACAACATCAATTAAAAAAAAAACACTCAGCCATTAAGAGAAAGTTTGCATTAAATAAAAGGTCTTCACCTGTTTGCAAAAGGACAGCAGAGATGGAGTCAGTAGTAGGAATGATTTGGGTTTTTTTTCTCCCACAAAGGGCAGCATGTATGTGATTCAGACAACATATTTAGATTAGTGTTCCAGAGTCTAGGATTGGCCATCAAGAAGACTTTTTCATGCACCCCCAGCAAATAGGGTGGAAGCAAGTGAAGGGCCTTCTTTAAAGATCCTAACACTTGGACAGGCTTCTATCAGAGAATGTTAGTTCCCCCAAGTTATATAGGGCTTTGTGTGTCATAGCCCACACACTTTGAATTATGTCTGAAATGAAGATGTTTAAGAGAGTATGCAAGATGTATACATACTCTGCAAGCCACCCAGAGTGGTAGAGTATACCAGATGGGTGGGATATAAATCAAATAAATAAATAAATAAATAAATAAATAAATAAATAAATAAATAAATAAATAAATAAATAAATACTCTGCATGCAGAGCATTGACAGTAATTTCTATTATCTAGTTTGCTGGGGAAAGCACCACTGCACAATTTCACATGGCTTCTTAGACCTATGTGTTATAGACCAGCTCATGTGAAACATTTCTTCATGTACCTGCACACCCACGCATGCTGTTGCATTAAGAAAGCTATCACTGTGTAATTACTCTGGTGGCACGAAGTGGAACATTTATGTGGCTCAGTATCACAAGACACAAACCAGTCTCTTGCCTACGTCCTCTGAGCGGGTCAGAGGGAGTGGGACAGACACGTATACGCACATATATGTCCTTACGTAGCCTCTCTCCAGCTCTACAGAAAGAAAATAGTAAAGGAGAAGTGCAAGCTTTTTCTAGGTCCTGTTTAGATAAATGGTCTACCAGTTTGCATAGTATTTTCTCCTCCCCAGATCCTCTTACCACAAGGAAACATGAGCAACCAAATGAAGATATCTCATAATTTTTATTTCGACAGTAACTAGGAGATGAAACACTACTAAACATCTTATATTCAAATATCCATGGAATCCAATGTTAGCAGAGAGTAGAGATAAGAACTGGAGTCCTAGTCCCAAAAAATAACTTTTCCGAGCTTTGTTAGAGAAGGAATTGTGAGGGAGCCTGTAAGTTCATTTGACCTATCCCTGGGCACGAACCATTTAGAGCTGTTCTACCACTCACACCCCAGCCAGTTTTAAAACCATGTTTTCATTTTCCTCCATAGCGACTATATGTGATACTTTTAGCGGATTGAGTGTAATTTGTAAGTAGTTGCTTCCCATTTTCATAGAATCATAGAATAATGTATTTGGAAGGCCCCTATAAGGTCATCGAGCCCAACCGCCTGTGCAGTGCAGGAATCCAAATCAAAGTACATCTGACAGCTAGCTGTCTAATTTTCTCACGAATGCCTTTAGCACTGGAGTGCTCACCAGCTCCTGAGGTAATTGGTTCTGTTGTTGTACTGCTCTAATAGTTAGGAAGTTTTTCATGATATTCAACTGAAATCTGGCTTCCTGTAATTTGAGCCCATTATTATGTGTCCTGCACTCTGGGATGACCAAGAATAGATCCTGCCCCTCCTCTGTATGACGGCCTTTCGAGTATTTGAAAAATGCTATCATATCTCTCCTCAGTCTTCTTTTCTCAAGGCTAAATGCAAACCCCAGTTCTTTTTCGTGTGTTATTTAGTTTTTGTGTTCTTCTGAACTGTTGCTATCATATTGTGTAGTGTATGGATGAAGCCCCAAGCTAGAGACATGTAGAAACCATTTGTTTAGGCTGCTCCACCCTTGTGAACATCTCATGGTGCCAGCTTTTCTACAGTATCCAGTTGAAAAATATTGGATTTGGATAGATATTGAATATACTGTATGAAATGTGCCTGGCATGATACGTATCAGCTTAAAATATGATCGAAGTACTTGTAGAGCAGCAGGAGCACGCTGTGCCAGTCTTGTCTCTCTTTTAACAGATATGAATGCTAAGGAGGTGGATAGGGGAGCTGAGCATATTAGTATTAAACAGAACAAAAAAAGATAAGCAACTATGCAGAAGCGCCAAGCTCAAGTCATGCAGTGTTAGGGAGGATTGAGTTATGTTGGGAATACAGCCATAATGATCATTAAAAGAGCTGTTCCGGATCTCAGCATGTAAGGAGGGGAGTGCCGTTGCCTGGAGCATTAGCCTCCCGGGAAAGAAGGAAACAAGCATTGTAGGTGGAGGAAGTGAGGAAGCCTTGACTTGTTTGTTTTAATTATTCAGCAAAACAGAATTCTTAAAAAGCAACTGAAATTTAAAAGGCATGTCAAAACTGGAGATCGCTTTGATACAGGCAAAAATAGATAAAGCAAGTAGGATATTCTGGGTGGCAGAAATGCCAGTATTACATTGTAGTGGGGTCATATCTGGCAGAATTGTTAATGTATGGCATTTTTAATATTTTGGGGGGAAAATACAGAAAGACAGAGAGAAAACATGCTTACTGAGAATGTGGACTTTCAGCAGAATCTGAGAGGAATATTAATATCTGGAGTCAAGACTAGCCACCGAATGAAAGAGCTTGAATAAGCTCACTCCCCATATAAGGCCTTGTTGCTGCAGAGCATGAAATTATGTTAGTGAAGTTCTTCAAAATAGTTTACCCCTTCAAAAGAATAAAGGAAGGTTATACATGCATAATAAAAATGTGAGCATCTGGCCCAAAGGAACTTCCTCCACCCCATCTAGATGGGAAGTAACATTTATGCCTTCTGCAATCTGGTGCCACTCTTCCCTATGCTCCACTTTGCTGGACTATATAATCCCATCATCGCATGGATGTGTGTGTTTTGTGCCGTCAGGTTGGAACTGACTTACAGAGAACCTAACAGGGCTTTCAAGGAAGTGAGATATTTAAGGTGTGGTTTTACCTGTTCCATTCCCCCAAGTCAGTTTCCATGGCTGAGTGGGATTTGGACCCTGATCTCCAGAGTCCTAATCTGTTACTCTATCCTCTATAGCACATTAAGAATCCCATCACATGAATAAGCATGATTAAATGTTGTAAAACGTGCAGGAAGAGACAACTGGTATTCAGTTTCTGCTGATTAGGATGGAATTAGGTTGCAGTGTGTAAAGCACATCCTGTGTAAAGTATATACTTTTGAGTAAACATGTCACAGGATGGTTGCAGTTTGGTGGCTACATTCAGCTAGTTGATAGTCTTAATAACTGTTTAAAAGCTACTCCCCATTTTATACATGTATAGATAAGAAGACCTTTTCATGGTTCATGGTACACAGACACAAAAAAGCAATTTTAGTTGATTATGTGACTAGGATCAGATCTTGGAGTGCTTTAGAGCGGATGTAGCTCTTTTGCCCAAAGGGAAGGATTTCAAAAAAAGGAAGAGATGTTTGTGCCTCATGGTTGGCCAGCTAGACCGGGCTTGTGTGGTAGAGGAAGTGCGGCTTTTTAAAAAAAAAAATGCAACCTATCTGTGTAGTTACCGCAGCTTCATATGTTTACTGAGGCCAAGAGCTCTCTTTCTCTCTCTTTCTTTCCCTATGTGTGTCACGCCAAACGTTTGTGATGAATGCTGACAGTCTTAGACAAGTGGTCTATACCCTTTAGTTGTGCTTGTACCACAATGTACAGCTCTGCAAGACTGCTACTGCTTTGCCTTAAACAGTAGCTGGTAGCAGATAAAAGAAGAAATAAAATGGAATTTTCCTTTTGCAAGATTAATGAGACAACAAATAAACAGTTATATTTTAATGCTGCTTTACTCCAGAGCTTGAGTAGCCCAGAAAACAGTTACCTGCTAGGCTAACTGTAGTTTTAAAAAAGGGACTAAGAAAGACATTTCATTACTGGTCTTTTTCTCCTTCAGCATGAAATTACATTTTAACATGTTTTCCAATAAACATTTTCCTCCGTTTTAGTTTAGTTTTTTCATTTGCATTATTTCTTTTATTCAGTTTTTACTCTTCAAGGTCAGTGTTACCTTCTTCATGGAAGATCTTTGCTTCTCATAACTGATGTGGTGGTCTGTAGACTCTGTCACTGCAGGAAGATATAGGCAGGATAAGTTGAACATTCGAGGTTGTTCTTGCAAAAGGCCTCAGATGGTCTCTGTTCGTGTGAGTCCTCGTAGACTTACTGTGTGCGAGTACCAATGTATCCATTATTTCTGGAGAACCGAGGCCCACCCTTTTAATTTTGTATCATGTGCTTCACTGGTACAATTAAAAGGGTGGCTTCAGGACCTCAATATCAACATTGTCTGCATCGTTGTGGGGGGGGGATTGCTTTCTGTTGGGTTGCTTGAGGATCCTTTGTGCTGATATTGAGCCTGGAATAACATTTCAGAAAAGTTATTGGGAAGACTGGAACCTTCATTTCTTCACACTGATCTTGTTAATCATCAAAAGAAATCTTCAGAAGAGCACCATCTCATACTACTGTGTTACTCCTTCTGAAAACATTGGTCACTGATTCCCACGCATTTTGCATAATTCACGATAGTGGAGTTTTAGGCAAGTTTGAATGTGTAGGTATGGAACCTGTGGCTTTCCAAATTTTGTTGTACAGCCTATCCCATTAGGCCAAGCTAAAGAATGGCTGATGAGAATTTCAGTCCCGCATCAGAAGAGCTACAGGCTTCCAGCCTCTGGTGCACAGAAACTGGCTAGTGAGGATTTTCAAATGATGTCCAGTGATGTCCAATATATGATTGTATGTGTAATGTCCAGAGCAGCAATTCTGTGAATAGATGTGAATTTTCAAGATGTGCATTTCTCTTTTGGTGATGTGTGTAAATTGCTGCATTGTACCAGAAATGCAAAAAAAGCATAGATTGTTTGTGTTTTATATTTTGGTGGTCCCTATGGCATCCAAGAATGCCTTCAGTGTAGAGTCATTTGCTTATCCGTAAGCAGAATAATTCTAGAAAGGTTTTGTCATTATAGTACTTACACAGGGAATGTAGCATTGCTGGATACTATCTGCCTTCAAATGTCAGATTTAAGGGAGGACCAGCTTTAGAAAGCTCCCAAACTGAAATAACTTCATACTTGGGACTGCATCATAACAACACCCAGATCTTCCATGATACTGAGGTTGAGGAGCCCATCCCAAATGCAAGGAGATCACCTGCCATTGCCACTTTGAACTAACTAAACATTGAGTCTAAAGCCCAGCCCCTCTCTTTGCGTAAATGACTGAAATTGGCTTTGAACCCAGGCAGATCTTCAGCATACTGTACTGGATCACAACTGGGGTATAAGTTTCTTCGTGGTAAGTGGTGTGTGTGCAACATCTCATGTCATTCTTTTTTTGCTTTTGTTTTATCTTTTTGCAGAACATTATAACTACCCATCTTCAAATATAAATTCAAGTTTGCCTCTAAATGTGGCACATTCTTCATTATCAACTCCATGCCACGGCCTTCAGACATCTAATCCCATCATTTCAATTGTCCCATCAACTAATCATCCTTCAGGATACGGCGGGCATACTGACAGTAGCACTGCCGGATATTATCTGCCTCCGAATGTTAGGCCAAATGGAGTGCCGGCATTAGAAAGCCCTAGAATTGAAATAACCTCATACTTGGGACTGCATCATAACAACAACCAGTTCTTCCATGATGGCGAGGTTGAGGAACCCATCGCAAACGCAAAGAGATCACCTTCCACTGCCACTTTGAACTTACCAAACATTGAGGCCTATAGAGACCCATCCTGCCTAAGTCCAGCAAGTAGCTTGTCTTCCAGAAGCTGTAATTCTGAAGCCTCTTCCTATGAGTCCAATTACTCTTATCCTTATGCTTCACCTCAGACATCTCCTTGGCAATCACCATGTGTATCGCCTAAGACCACTGAGACTGAAGAGAGGTACCAGCGAAACTTGGTGGCCTGCACGCTACTCGGTTCTCCCCGACATTCTCCTTCAGCCTCTCCCAGAACAAGCATTACTGAAGAGAACTGGCTGGGTCCTCGTGGCTCCAGGCCATCTTCTCCCTGCAACAAGAGAAAATACAGTTTGAATGGCAGGCAGACATCCTATTCACCACACCATTCTCCAACGCCTTCTCCGCAGAATTCACCAAGGGTTAGTGTGACGGATGAAACGTGGCTGGGAAATACGAACCAGTACACCAGTTCAGCCATTGTGGCAGCTATCAATGCCCTCACCACGGACAGCACAATAGACATGAATGATGGGATTCCTATGAAGTCCAGGAAAACAGCGATAGATCATACTCCATCCATGGCGCTGAAGACTGAACCAAGTGGTGATGATCAGGGGACTGTATCTCCAACAGCTGACCTGTCACCAGAAGAATTTCCTGGATTTCAACACATCAGAAAGGGAAACTTCTGTGATCAGTATCTCTCTGTGCCACAGCACCCTTATCAGTGGGCCAAATCAAAGCCGCTGTCCCCGTCGTACATGAGGTACAGTGAGGGTTGTGTGTGTTATTTTCTTTAGAAGCTCTATTATAAAGTGCTGTTCCTGTGCTTTCCTAATCTGCTTTCCCTTTCTTTGCTTACTTCTGTGTTGTGTGCTGCACACCATTTCCCTTGACTTCTGTTTGGATCAGACCTATAACATTGTAGTTCTGTTTCCTTCTGTGTTGTGTCTTGATTGATTTTCAGACTCTAAAATAAAGGTAGTTTCAAGCTTTCAATTGTAGGCTCTTGGATTGCCTTTTGCCCTTTCCCTTAAGTAGCAGTGGTTTGAGTTTTATTAATTAAAAACTCTGATCAATACATTTTTGCAAAACAGAAAATATGGAGGTAACCCTTAATTACAAGTGAACGTGTTCTGTACCGTTACAGTAGTGTTATTTTTTTAAGTGTTATTTGTTTATTTAAAGCATTTTTACCCCATTCCTAATCCAAAATAAATAAAATAAGACATGACACAATGTCAAAAAGGCATGGCAAGAGGAGACAAGGGAAGACAGAAAATGCCAGCACCGGTTTTATAGTAGTACCGTGTTTCCCTGAAAATAAGACCTAAGCTGAAAACAAGCCCTAGTATGATTTCTCAGGGTGCTCGTCATATAAGCCCTACCCCCAAAATAAGCCCCAGTTAAGTGAAGCCCTGCCCTCCACCATTGTGCAGAAACCAGAAGAAGATGACAGGACTGTATTTGAATAAATGTATACTGTTGCACATGAAAAAAGAAAATCATCCCCTGAAAATAAACCCAAATGTGTTTTTTGGAGCAAAAAGTAGTACAAGACCCTGTCTTATTTTCGGGGAAACACGGCCTTTGTAATGACCAGCTAGAATGCCAACAGTTCAAATAGAGGAGGACGCTGATGGAGCTAGTGCTTCAGCAGAGCTGGTAAGGTGGTCTTACTTCCTATCTTCTTCAGCCGCAGATTGATGGATAAGTAATATAATGGCCCAAGCCTTGTTGAGTAAATTAAATTTGCATAAGGGGAGAAATTGCCAATAATGAAATATTTCCTGCCACCATCTCAGCATTTGCCCTTCTTGCCTACAACACATCTATAGCCAAGTTGGGTATCCCCCAGGGTTGAAGTCAGAATTGTCATGATCAGCCATCTGCAGCTCCTTGGAATGTTATCTAGGAGAGGAAGACTGCTGGTAGTTAAGGAGTTTCTGCTTTGATTTCAGGAGTCACTTGATGTGCTTGGAATGAGGCTGATTGCTGGCAAGTTGGGCAACTCCTGATGCTTGAAGTAGGATTCCTTAATTACCAGCAATCCCCCTTCCCTTACGAGTGACATCCTCACCATTATGCAGACATAATTTATTTAACAATAATGGAGACATAGTCTGTCTTATTATGATTTTTAACACAGAGACACTATTTTTGTATTTAATACTGTAGCCTTTTCCTTGGGGCCATGTTAAAACACGCACATAGTATCATAACTCTTCTAGGTTCTTGTGCTCAATTAATCTCATATCTAAAATCTTGTCATAACAGAGACAGCTCGGTAATTCTGCTTTTCAAAGTGAAGAGTCTACCAGTATTTTAAAATTCCCCACATGTCAAAATATGGGCTGTTACTCCTTTGTCATGTGAAAAACAGCCACATTATTTTAGGTTTGGAGAAATTTAAAAGAAACGAAGACCCTGATCACACAAGGGAAATGTTTTCTAGTTCTTCCAATACTTTCCATACCTCTGTCGTACTGAATTGTGGTCACGTGGTTTATATTAGAGGATGAGTCTCCCTCTAAGGTGTGTGACTTCATAAGCACACTTGCTTCTGCCCCCCCCCATCCACACAGCTTTCCTCCTTCTCTGTGCACCCACAGTGATTGTTTCCATCCCATTTTGTTCTTGTTGCATTGGAACCCCATGCGGGGGGGGGCAGACTAACACACACGTCGGGGTGGAAATTAGAGAGAACATTTAGTGGGAAGGGATTTCTATTTAGGAAAGTGTCCCTCTGTTACACTGGCAGCTCTTGCAGAAATGCATTACAAACAATGGACTTCGGATATCCGTGAGGCAGTACTGGCGATCAGCCCCCCCCGTGACATTGGCATACCAACGTCTCAATATATCTCAACAAAACTATTATTCACCAGTAATGGAATAGTGGTGCCCCCCCCATGACATAATTTTACCAATGTATGGATGTATCGGGCACAAATTAAATATAAATCTATCATGTGTGCACGGCAGTAATGGTTGCCACCTTCCTGGCTTCGATTCTGAAAAGAAGCAGGGCAGGTCATGGACACAGGGGATGCACTGGTGCAACAAACGTACAAAATAACACAACCCTCCCGGAGATGGGGAAATGTTTTGCAGTTACATTGCTGTCTGAAGAAACGTCTCGATCTTGGCTTAGCAACAAACTAACTAGGGGATAACTAGACACCATTTCCTTCATGTGACCAGGGCCTAAGAACAGGTCTAAAGTGTTATAAGTAACTTGAACCAATAGAAGAAAATATGAGGTATAAATGGTTTTTCAAAAATATGTACTGTACATACATAAAATGTGACTTTGTAAGTCAACTTGTATGAACAGATAATAATATAATAGTTCCTGTGTACCCTGAACAGCTAACGGTCAGTGGCTGGAGCTGTTGGTGTAGCTGTTTCTTTTCCCAGACTCAGAAAGAGAGTGATGTTGTGCATTGGGGAAAAAACAAAATATAAAGAGAGCTTGGAAAAGCCCCACTCTTTCCATGTAGCTCTTCTACTTGGAATTAGAATCTCTGTGCAACAGACAAACAAAAAAAATAAGAGCAGTTTCTATTAGTTTATTCTGCTGCATTTTGACTCTTGTGACTTCATTCAGCTCTCCCATGGTACTTATCTCATAGCAGTCCTCCTTAAATCCTTCTACTTCGTACTCTAAAGAATCCAACACGAGCTCATTGCCTTAACTTTCAAAACTCTCCATGACACTGCCTGCTTCCTTTTCATGCTGCCCTTGTGATCCATGGCTGTTGTTCTTCCAAGTCAACCTCTGCTGTTGACTTCTATCCTATCCTGCCCAAATATCTGCTGCTCCCTCAAAACAAATACTCTGCTTTTACTCCACAACTGTCCTTTAGACTGTCCCCTAAGCCTTTGCTGTGCCATCTCTCTTGCCTCCTTCAAATCATTCCTCAAAACATGTCTCTTTGATGAAGACTTCAGCTCAGCTGTGTAGTTCCCATACACCATCAACCCTAGGTTTGATCAGGAGAAAGGTACTTCATTCGGCCACTGCAAGATGAGCCTCTCATCCTTGAACCAAGGGCCACTGGTGTTCCCATTGCTTATTTATTCTGGTTCAGCCTGTGAAGAGCCCTGTGAGGGATACCCAGTGTGGTGTAGTGGACAGAGTGATGGAATAAGACTCAGGCCTAGGCTTGAATCCCTTCTCAGCCATTGAAACTCACTTTGGATGTGGAACTGGCAAAACCACTCCTGAAATACCTCATTTACCTTGAAATCTTTATTTGGGTTGTTATAATTTGGTTCCGACTTGACAGTTTATAACAACAACAACACCAATATAACACTAGCCTCCTCTTTCTTGCTTTTGCTCTGTTGCTTCCCCTGCATTGAATGTTACATTGTAGTTTCCCAGGGTAAGGACATTCCTGTTCATATTCTGCAAAGTGCCATGCGAGTTGGAGGTGTTACACTAAAATACAGTTGGATTGTATTTTATATTGAGTATGTAACTTTATAACTGAGTTCCTGTAGTTGGTGGTGAAAGCCTACCTGCTTTTTTCTCACCTTTCAAGCAAATTTGTGGAATTCTTGACCAGTTCTCTGATGCATGTTTACCTGGCGGTAAGTCCTGCTATGTTCAGTGTGCTTGTTCTTCAGAAAACATGCAAAGAATTGCATCCTAAAGGAACTAATTGGAATCTCTCTTGAACTGAATTGATTGTGATTTACTGAAGGCTGGGAGTGCACAGATTCAGAATATTGATCTGCCCACCCATGTATAGCCATGGCCAGTCCTCAGGGACTGGTTGGGTGAATGGCTGGGCAAATGGGGAGTGTGGACATCCCCTTGCATAAGAATAGACAGACAGACAGACAGACAGACAGACAGACAGACAGACAGACAGACAGACAGACAGACAGACAGATAGATAGATAGATAGATAGATAGATAGATAGATAGATAGATAGATAGATAGATAGATAGATAGATTAAGCAGATAGATAGATAGATAGATAGATAGATAGATAGATAGATAGATAGATAGATAGATAGATAGATAGATAGAG